CTGCCAAGCAAAATCTGACACCGACTCAATAAGCATCTCCTCAGGAGTGTTAGTTCCTAATTATCAAGGCAGTAATAATTTCTTGATTATAGGTGTACTTATGTTTCCTCGCCGTTAGAGCCATAGGCCGTTATGGATGGTGAAGTCACACTCATGAAGGCTAAGCCTTATGTGCTTAGGATCCTCTTTCTTGCTTCAGTTTTGCTTTGTTTAGCAACAAGAGACTTGGATAACTCAAGCCAGTCTCAGACACAGTATCTAACAGGCACTGGCCTTGAACTCCTGATCCTCCTGCGTCTATCTCCCAAGTGCTGGGATTATAGGCACGTGCAACCACCCCGTCTATAGGAACCTTTTTAAAAACTAAATTAAAATGTCCATGCAGTCAGCACAATAACCTGCCCCTAAGGTACCTCGCCCTAATCCCGAGACAATGTGAATACCTCAGACGACGACGAGGGCTCCAGAAGCCCAGTTAGTTATATATCAAAGGACACTGAAGAAAAACTATGCAAAAATGAGGAGTGATGCCTCCAGCTTCTGGTTCCGGTTCCCCGTTGCATGGTGCTAAAACACTCAAGCCTGCAGTCCCCAAAGGGGATGGAAGCAAATGTAAGAGAAATAAAGACCCAGAATAAACCAAGTTTACCCCATATTGAAAGTAGAGGGAGGGAGTTAGATGATTCAGCAGGTAAGAGAGCTTGCTGCTCTTGGGCAGGATCTGGGTTTGGTTCCAGCATCCACAGCTTGTTCCCCTCCATGACTCCAATTCCAGGAGATCCAGTGCCTTCTGACATACACACACATCCATGCAGACAAAACACTTGCACACATAAGATAAAGATAAGTAAGTCTAAACATGTTTCTAAAAAATATAAAGAGAATGCTTTTTGTAGATGACATCACAATGAAAGACAAATATTTCAAAATTTCCCTTAAAGCGAAAAATTTATTTTGTTATAATCATTTTAGGGAGACCTCTCTTTTCCAAATGGACATTTCATGTTATTCAAAGAAGAACACTCTTCCACAATTTGTTAGAACTTTGATCTGCTCCAAAGGGTAAAGTTTATCCCAACATTACAAAAGAAGAGCTGGTCTGCTAAAATCTTAGTATTCAGCTAAGGGTTTGAACCTCTTACACTGTGGCCCTGTGAGACGGCTCCCCAGAGCTGAATGACCAGGAGAAGGACCTGGAGAAGCTTTTCTGATGTACCTGGAAACATGGATCAAGCTCAAGATTCCAAACAGATTAAGGACATTGTTTTCAACTCATTCAACAATCCTATTTTGAATATCTACTTGTGGTCGGTGTGGGGCTGTCCAGACTTGCTCCACTACTGAGAGCTGAGGAAGGAAAAGAGCCTAGCCTGCTAGCCCGAGGCACCAGGCTCTAGCCAGAGTAATGAGTTTGTCCAACCTGAAGCCTAGCATGCTATCACAATCTTATTTAAAATAGCATGAGGGTTTTCTTGTAAACTTTTTCCTTCCTTCCTTCCTTCCTTCCTTCCTTCCTTCCTCCCTCCCTCCCTCCCNTCTTCCTTCCTTCCTTCCTTCCTTCCTTCCTCCCTCCCTCCCTCCCTCCCTCCCTCCCTCCCTCCCTCCCTTCCTTCCTTCCTTCCTTCCTTCTTTTTTTAGCTTGACTGGAAAACTCTCACACATAAGCTTTGCCAAAGATAACCCTGTTTTGCAATATCAGAAGTATCTTGCTCTGTTAGCTTCTGGTTTGGGTCTCATGATACAGTGTGCACAGTCACTTGAAGCACAACTTGCATACGAAGTTTCTGTAACTAATCACGAAGCCCAAAGTTCAATGTGAGGATTTGAGGGGGAAAAAAGTCACTGCCATGCACACAGGTGATGATCATCATTTTGGACATTGGCTAATAGATTTTCAAAGCATGGTGTTAGAAGCCAGACTCTTTCTAAATGGCCCAGCTCCCTGGATTTTGAGGCTTCCCTCCACCCTCCACTCAGTGAGTGTGCTCGTACCCTTAGTTAGCTCAGCTCATCTTAAACAATTCATTCGCCTCAGATGCTCCCGGGATCAGTTTTTACCTCCAAGCATTTCTGGAGGGAGCTCATGGTTTCCATTCCGTAAGCTCTGAGCCTTACAGCCACCCATCACGAGGGGAAGGATGAGAGGAGTAAGAAGGAACATCCGTGAAGTCGACAGAAGGCTGGTTGTTTCTTCCTGCTGAGCCTCTAAAAGCCGTGTAGTGGAGTTTCCGATAGCGGGGAGGCAATGAGGCTCCGGCACCGAGGGAGAACAGAAGGAGGCGGTGAACCCACACAGTTAGAGCTTGGGTGGGTAGGGCGTGTGATCACAGGAAGAACAGAGGTCTTAGGAACCTGTCTTCCACTGTCCCTCTGCTGGGACAGTGTCTGTTAGTGCCTAAGCTGGACCATGTCAGGGACCTGAGACGTGCAATATCTGAAATATCATGACTCTGCCATGAAGTCAACTTTCGGTGCCAATAAACATGTCTCTTCATGTAGACCTCGAGAAGCGAGCCAGACCTCAAAAGCAGGTTTCCATTTGAGAGTTCACTCATGATTTGCTCATAACATATTTTAATTTAGACAACATCACTGTCAAAGCTAATTCAGGTGAATCACCTATCAATATTTCAGTCTCCTGGTTCAGTAGGAGTTAACAGACTTTCCTAATGCCTGAGCCTTGGCTGTCATTAGAGACAGCCATGAGATTTTTGCAACACATGAAATTTTCTCACCAATATAGTTATGAAATTTTTTCTTGGAAATGACTTAAGTAGTCAAGTTTCTAAACCAATCAGAACTCAACTTCATACCAGAGGTTATTTGAAAAGAGCAGATCCTACATCCTAAATGAATCAAATGTCAATTGTGCGCTTGAAAAATGTTCAAATTTTTTATTTTTATTTTTTAAAAAAATGTATTATCTGTTTCCTTCCCATTTCCAACTCATTGGGTTTCTGGATTTGGCACTTGGCTAAATGTCTGTGGTGCTCTGGATTCAGGGTGTAAGCCATGTGTTTCTAAAGTGAACAATGGCCACGCCTGCTTGTCGATTTGTGTGTGGCCCTTCCTTTCGCCTGCTAATGACCATTCATTCCTTCATCCCTGAAAAGCAACAGCTCAGTCTGAAACGTGCTGCTCTCCTCTCCGGGCTGTGTTTCTGACTCTTTGATTAACAGCGACAGAGGACTGCTTTCAACCAACGCTTCCTACAGTGACCGTAGCCGCCGGGGAGGCAGGCAGGCGGCACTTAGCCTGTCCCATAGTTTTAGAGAGAAGTCTTAGGGAGGACAATGAATCACAGACAGAATCCCACCTGTGGGCTTCCTCTTGCAATCTGTCAGAGTGGTTAAAGTGTGCAGACACCCTGCACCCAGATCTGAGTTATACATCTCAGCTTCGGAGTCCTCTAAGAGCCAAGGGATATTTGTCTCCCGATGATGAGAGGAGCAGAACACCAGCACAGAGTCCGCATTAAAACCATCATCACAGAACAGAGGCGCATCCATAAATCATAGTCATTAGCATCTGACTCTAATGATTAAAGTTAAAGTCAGGCATATGGCGATGTGCGAAAAGTTAACACTTCAATGAATGAGTCAGTACTCACAGGACATTTCCAGCCAGAGTTTTATTTATGCAACTCTCAAAGTCTCAATATTTCAACTTTGGATGCTGTGTAGCCAAGCTCATTTATTTCTGAGCCATGAAACAAATCAAACAAGGTTGATTAAAAATGAACTTTTATGCTCTCAGATTGATGGACCATACCAATTGCACCCAGATCTGTTCTGGGCTGGTGACCGAGGCTGTGGAATGGGACCGACAGTAGACCATTGTTGACCATGACCCTGCAAAGAGGTTTTTATATTACCGATTTCCCCCCGTTTAACACTTCAGAAGCTAGTTACTCACCATATTTGTCAAAGCAGACGCAATGCTAAAAGCGTAAATAGGGGATGAGCAATTGTAGAATTCAGTTTCCGTGGCAGGATGTCACTGCCGTGGATAACGCACCAGGCTTCAGAGAAGAACGTTCACTCACTTCCTAGAGTGTGGAATTTAGTCTCTGACCTACGTCATTTCAGATGCTTTCCTTCCAGGACGGGCCCGCCTAGACTACCCGTGGGATGCAGCAAATGCTAAGACCGTATTGAATTTCCACAAGGTGGATTAGCAGAAAATGAAGATAAAATGCCTTTCTATTTCCGAACACAATGACGTTTTAATTGCTCTAGTATTTGGCATGTCTAATGTATACAGTCCTTGACGTCCATGCAATAACAAAGGAGGGCTGTTTGAGATTTTTCTTTTATTTCCGTTCCTTTCTCGTGTTTCTCCCACCCCCCACTCTGGTCCTTCTCCTTGCTCTCCTCATCTCTTCATCTTTTCTATGCTCTGTGTTAGGATGCATGTAAAATACCTCCTCTCTGTATAGATGGCCAAGACTGCTGCTACCTCGCTGTGATGCGCAGACCACCATCGCTGCGACAGCTGATGTCATGTCGATGCCTCCGGGTGAAGCAAAGGTTTATACATTACACAAGCAATTTAACTGCTTTCTAAACATATTGCCATGACAGTGGGAGCTGGCAGCCAGCACTGTGTTTTAGGTTTTGGTGAGCTGGATTAGAAGTAACTGTTGATTGTGAAGTGTTTTTATTTGTCTCCTATGCCCTGAAAGCAACCTCGTAACCCAGTGAAGAATTCTGCTCTGCCCAGCTTCCCAAGATTACCTGTACAAATCTCTCCACTAACATGGCCTAAGAGTGCCTAGATAACCGCACAGACAATTGTCTTGTTCTTAACCTTTAAAGAGAGCCACATAGAGAACTGTTTTATAATCTTTTTCTGTGCAAGTAGGCAAAGGAGGAAAGGAAAAAGGTCGGGCAAAGATTACCCAGAAGAAAGAAAGAGACTTTTTTCGGGGGTCCCAGTTGAAACACAATAAAGAACATAATTAACTTCACAATTTCTTTGTGTTTTTCATTTGATTGCAGGGAGGAGATGAAAGGGGCCTGCTAAGCCTTGCATTCCATCCCAATTACAAGAAAAATGGGAAGCTGTATGTGTCTTATACCACCAACCAAGAACGGTGGGCTATCGGGCCTCATGACCACATCCTTAGGGTTGTGGAATATACAGTGTCCAGGTATCCCTAACTAATTTGATTGGAAGCCTGCAAACTCTGCCATATTGCTTTCTCTTCTTCATCTCTTCGCTATTTAGAAATGATTGCCATGAATTGGTAGTAATTAAAGCAGAATCTTCTCACGCCATAAAACATGTGCATGTATATGTTTGTATGTGCATACGCGTGTGTGTGTGCATGTGTGTGTGTATAAGGGAAATTAAGTAAAATAATATCTTTGGTACTTTTTCTCAATTATCTTCAATTCAGTAATGTTTCGAAAATGTAGAAATTATTGTAATTTTTCAGTAATTTAATAATTCAGTAAAATTTCAGTAATTTTTCAGAGTAATTGATTAGCTCTGTTCCAAATGTATCTGTACACTGCTCCTTCTCCGGTGAATTCACATTATACCTGAAGACTCATGGCGCTTTCTCTTCCCTCACGCAGGAAGAATCCCCATCAAGTTGATGTGAGGACAGCCAGGGTGTTTCTGGAAGTGGCCGAGCTCCACCGAAAGCATCTCGGAGGACAGCTGCTCTTTGGTCCTGATGGTTTTCTGTACATCATCCTTGGGGACGGTATGATCACGCTGGATGACATGGAAGAGATGGATGGGTTAAGGTAACAGTCTGCTTACCAACAAGTACTCTTTGGCATCAACATAATTCCAATGCCAGGACGTAGGCTCCAAGCCAGCGACTAGAAGCTATTGCTGTGGTTATTTTATGCTAAAGGGTCGCTTTGCTTTGTCCTAAAAGTTATTGCTGCAAAGGCTGCCCTGCGTCTTCCCCTGGGCCCAGCAGCTGGGTAGTAGACGTGCCCCTACACTAATGTCTTGAGGACATAAAACACATCACCTGGCAAAGACGATAAAGGACAGATTAAAAAAAGAAAAGCAAGGCGCATACTGTGCCACATCCTTGGCCACCTCCATCTGTGCCCAGACTGCCCCTGGTCTCACTCCTTGCCATATGGAATTTGGAACTCAAGCAATTTTGAGTCCAAAGAGGGGACGGTTTCTTTCTCCTTAGAGCAACGTCACCCCAGGTATGCAGATGAAACACACAACCTGATCATGAGGTACTCACTGCCCTCAATTTCTCAGTGATTTCACAGGCTCCGTGCTGAGGCTGGATGTGGACACCGACGTGTGCAGTGTGCCTTACTCCATACCACGGAGCAACCCCCACTTCAACAGCACCAACCAGCCCCCAGAAGTGTTTGCCCACGGGCTCCATGATCCAGGCAGGTGAGGACATCTGCCTATCCTGTCCCTACGGAGAAAAAAAAAAAAACTTGAGAGAGGAAAGACACAAGCTCTTAGTGGAGGGGAAGCACTGTTACAAGCCCTTTGGCTTTCTTCCTTTAAATACCTCTAAGTTCTATTTTCCTGTTGCCTTAGTCTGTTTTGTGCCGCTTCAACAGGATGCCACATACTGGGTAATTCACAAACAGTAGATGGTTTGGGGCTCACAGTTCTGGTTCTGGGCAATCTGAGGCTCCAGTGCCAGCACCTACCTGCTCAGTGTCTGCTGAGAGACTTCTTGCTTCCTCCTTTCACAGTGGAAGGGGAGAGCAAAGGGCAGGGAGGGAGACAGAAAAGTTGCCAAACTCTTCCTCTTCTGGGGAACTCACTCCTAGGATCACCAGCCCCCTCTCACAACAATAGCATCGATCCATTGCTGAGAGTAGTGTTCTTGTGATACTATCAGCCCCTAGTGGTCCCGTCTGCCCTGCTGACTGTAGAGGGCACTGGGATGCCAGGATGTGAGCCTCGCAGGTATGTTCAGACAATGGCACGTGTGTTACACAGACGTGGTAGGTAACGTGTGTGCTCTAAGGGCTCTGTCGGGATTGTAGACGAGAATCACAGGTAAAGTACAGAATGCTGCCTGGTGCCTCACACACAGCAGTTCTTACTGCCATGGTCTCACTTAATACAAGACGGTGGGGTGTTAATTTGCAAGGAGTTGAGGTAAATGTTAATGTCTGTCATGCTTAAAATACTTACTAAGGAATTCAGGTTGGCGGTTTTCTGCGTATACTATAATGAACCATAAAGAAGAGAAAACTAAGAAGTCTGTAGAATGAAGGGTTTCGGGCACCTTAAAAATTCTATGACCAATAACAGAAATTCTCTGATGAAACCCCTTCCAGCCTGGTCTGTCATTCAGACTGGGGGTATGTGGCCACGTTCATTCATTTACTAGCTTAGTTATTATTGCTATTTAATGTTTATTAAGTGTTCACTATGTGCAAGGTGAATATTTCTCAAACTTTTTATTTTTATAATCCCTCATGCCCTTCATCTTCCCTCCATCAAAGCCCGAGTCCACAGTTCATTTCCTTTTTGGCATCTCCACAGATCTTAAAATCTGTTCAGCAGGGAATACTTACGGTGGGGTCAGGATGTGGAGGAAACTGTCACATTCCATTCCTATAGCTCAGAACGCACACACCACAAAGCCGCACTTTGAAGTGAAGCGGCCTGAGTCACCACCCTCCCTCCAGAGCGGTCCTGCAACCGTCCTGGGGGTCCAAGCCTCAGTGATGAGGTGCTCTCCAGACCCTTTGTGTGGCAAGATGCCTGTGCCATGGAGCCCTGCTTCCTCTGGCAAGCGAAGGCTAGAGAAAAATTCTTCTGTATTCTGCTTTCCTTGCAGAGACTCTCAGACAGATAAAGATTTAATGAAGAGAAGACACTAAAACCATTACTGGCTAGTATGCACCCCCTGCAGGGTACTAGACTAGGTACTCCTCTTGTGGTGTTCTGGGTAACTGACCGTGCAGCACCTTTTTAACTTTGTGTGTGTGGTGTATAGACACACCCATTCTTTCACATGTAGAAGGTAGAGCCCAGGAGGAAGTCAGGTGTCTTCCTCGACCATCCCCCTTCATCCTTTCCATTACTTTTAGAAACAGATGTGTTCCTGAACCTGAAGCCTGGTATTTCAGTGAGCCTGGCTGGGCAGCAAGCTCTGTCTTTTCCAATAGCGACCTCACACACACACACACACACACACACACACACACACACACGATTTCCAATACTAGAGGTACAGGCTGGTGTTGTGTCTGCCCTTTCTGAGGATGGCAGGAAATCAAACTCAGGTCCTCTTGCTGGCACAGCACACATTCTTACCCCCGGATTCATCTCCCCAGCCCAACATCTTCTTTTTTAATTTCAAGAATAAGTCCTAGGTTCGCAGTAATGTGACCATAAGGTACAAAGAGCAGTGGTAAGCCCTGTGCCCACATTGACATAGGCCCCCGCCATTGTCATCATGCCCAGTAGAATGACTTTCAGTGAACAGCTGATGAGACGGAGTTGGCACATCAGTGATGACGGCAGCAGCCACTCTGGGTGGTACGCACCCTGTGCCGCTTTTAGACACATGCATGGGGACAGGCGCCCACCATCTTAGCCTCAACTTAGTTTCACGTCTGCCTCCTTTCCACATGAGAGGCTGCAGAAGTCACAGTCGCCAGCAGCTCACCTCAGGGAATGCCGCCCCTGTCAGCATGGTCGCTGCTGCTTGTTGGAAACGAGTCAAGCTTCTTTTTGACATAAATTCTCCCTCTTCAAAAAAAAAGGTACTTGAAGGAATCGCCTCAGCCAACGTGGACTAAAGTTCCTCATTACGTCACAACAGCCCTGGCAGACTGTGCTGTGTGAACCTCTGAGGGCAGCCGGGGTATTGTCTGTACAGCTGCCCCAGCTCCAGCTTCTCTATCAGCAGTGGGCTGATTGGAGCCCTCAGCGGTTTTGTTTTATTTTAGTAAAGGTATTTGCCTCTCTGAAGCCCCTACTCTCACCATTTAACAGTTTTCATTTTTCAGTGGGTGTGGTTTCTAAGGTAGTTAATGTATTTCGTTGGCCCAAACAGCAGTTTCAGTGGAATGTTTTTTGCCGCTGGGGACAGTTGACAATGTCTAGAGACAGTTTGGGATTTCACAATTGGGATGAGAGGGGGTAAAGGCTGGACCACACTGCTGTCATCTAATGGTCAAGGCCAAGGAGACGGCTTAGAATCCCATAATTCGTAGAATGGTCCCCCCTCACCCTTGGAACAAGATTACATGGTCCCAACATGTCAAGAAGCCTGGTTGTTTTGTTTGTTTGATTGATTGATTTTTTTTTGGCTTGTTTTGCATTTTTGAGATTTTCAGACATTGTCACCAGGCTTCATTCTTTCTCCAGTCCTAATCCCTTATTCACTTATGCATGCCAGGAATATTGTGACCTCTTAGACCTAGACTAGGTAACAGGAATGTAGTGACCCTTGGCCCCTGCAGAACTCCATCAGCGGTGAGAACCACAGGGAGACTCTGATCTCCACATTAGGTATGGGGGACTTGAAGACAAGGTAGACGTAAAAGATCTCTGTCCTCCATGTGTGTGCATGCCAGCCGTGTTTCAGTCCCTGGGACGCAGAGTGTGATTTGTTGCGCTATAGCTCCCTGAGTATATCACAAGGTGACCATTCGGGGACTGGGTAAAGGCACATGCCACCAAATGTAACATCTGAGTTCACCCCCAGGAACAGAAGGAAAATAAGAAACCAACTTCCACAGATTGTCCTCTGACCGCCACACATTGCACACTATGATATGCGTGCGTGCACCTACGGTATATTAATGTATGTAATTTTTTAAAGTTAGTTTTCCATGTAGGAAAGAGCACTAGTTCTAAGGCTAATACATTACATCCATTGTGTGGCATAGACGAATTGACGAGCACTGATTCATATTTCCAAACTCTGCCAAGGTGTTATGCATGAGGTAATCCTTCCTGATAGGCTAACAAAGGCCTTTACAACTATGAGAACGTTTATTAGAAGAAAGATAGCCAGAAAAAATGAAGAAACACACTCCCAGGTCATTAGCTTCAGTAGGGTAAACAAACATATCAGATGTTTCCTTCAGTGGTTTCAAGAACATCCCAACTAAATTGCTCCTAGGATCCTAGCCAGCCCACAGAGCAAGCATTCCTTTCACTGTCAGGAAGAGACCCCGGTAGAGATTAATGAGTATCTGTCTCCTTTGTTATGTAGATGCGCCGTGGATCGACATCCCACTGACATAAACATCAACTTAACAATACTTTGCTCAGATTCCAATGGGAAAAACAGATCATCAGCCAGAATCCTACAGATAATAAAAGGGAAAGATTACGGTGAGTCAAGCTTATGGAGGCTGGTTTAAGGTGAAGACTGGTTTTAGTATATTAATTAGAGAAAACGAGGGTTTGCATACTAAACATTCAAGAAAGCATAAAAACAGTGGCCCCTGTCAGGCCAGTGAGTAAATTGCTCTATTTTAAAGGTTCAAGGACTCCTCCAAGCCCTGAGGGCTCCTCCACTTAATTGCCTTTTCCCTGGATTGCTTGGTTCCCTGTAGGTTCAAATCATTTAATAGTCTCAGAAGTCAGTGGCTTGCTTTGTGCTCCTCTGAGACTCAGGATGAGGAAGGTCTCTTTATTCCCTTTATATGGGGGAACTTGTCTTTGCATCTTATATGCAGAGAAGTAAGCTTAAAGGTAAGAGATTACTGAACATTCTGAGCAATTAGGAAAATAATGTTTCTAATAAAAATAATTTTAAAATAGGTTTCTTTTAGAGAAAACAAAGTAATTGACTTGTAAAAATAAGTCATGGGAATAAAATGTTTGAACGTTATATTTAATAACATTATCACTGGAGTATTTACAGAGAACTTAGGACATAAAGTTGGATAATGAAGTCCGAAACTCAGCTGTTTTCCACGCTGTAGTGAGTACTCCTGAAGGCTGCGTGATAGTGAGCGTTATTGTGACTTAGGGAGCACAGTAGATTGAGATTATTAAATTGATTGCTCCTTCTATTTACCCATTCAGCAGGGCTGTTTATTTTAGCACTGGGAATGGGCAGCTGTGTGAGTTCATGCCGTATCTGCTTATTTTACTTTGTTTTTTTCCCCCTAGGTATTTTTCTCCCTCCCTCCCTCTCTCCCTTTCCCCTTCCTTCCCTCCCTTCCCTGCTCCTTCTCTCTCTCCCTTCCTCCCTCTATGTGTGTGTGTGTGTGTGTGTGTGTGCACTTTAAAAAGTCAAATCAAATAATAATATTGTTTGGAAAAACATCTAACAAGACACTAACTAGTTCAATGGGTTTTGGCTATACCACGAGATTTAACTAAACTCTACTAATTACATCAACATCCAGACAAAACAGTTAGAGGAATAACAACCTATTTTTCATATTTTAAAACGCACCCGAAGTGCCCACAGCTCCCACTGTGAAGACGTCCACAGAACTACTGAAAACTAACAGGCACTGTGACAGCTGCCTTGAACTGAGGGGGACACCGGGGTACAGAAAGGTTAATTGCCAGACAGAATTGAAGGGCAAAGGGTGGATGTCAGCAGCCTAAGCCCAGTGTTCATCACCTTCTTCCCGCTCTGGGGCACCTAACACCTGTGCTTTCCGAGCTCTGTTTCAGCATAGGCGTGAGAGGAGAAGAGGCTAACTGTTTGAAAGGACTGCGTTGCCCCAGAAGTGCCTCCACAAGGGGCTGCTGATTGTGGCTGATTTGACTGGTTTTCCATAAATGCATGAGAAGAGGTCCTCATGAATTTGTGTGAATTTGCCACATGCAAGGAGCATCCTGACTCTGGGTTTATCAACCTTAGAGTTCTATGACCAAAACTATCGCAGGGCCACAAGTTAGATACCACTCACTGAGAGATTGTTCCGACGAATACAGTAAATGAGGGCTTAGAAACCTTTATGTGCTGGGCTTTATTCTTCATTCAAGGGCAAACTTTTAAAACTTTTTAAACATTTTATATAATTTCATAGGTCTGTTTGGTTTACCAAACATAAGCAGAACCATTTTTACAGATGTTTATTGTTCAAAACTCAAGTTTTCAAGTATTTTGGTTCTGTAGTAAATAACAATGATTTCAAAATACCTGGATTTGGCCGGTGGTGGTGGTACACACCTTTAATCCCAGCACTTGGGAGGCAGAGGCAGGCAGATCTCTGTGAGTTCAAGGACAGCCTGGTCTACAGAGTGAGTGACAGCCAGGACTGTTACATAGAGAAACCCTAACTCGAAAAACAAAAACACCTGGATTTGAGTGATGTTGGAATCTTGGTGTCTCCTGGCTGATAACAATAGCAAGCTCCTGGTGGGCATTTTCAGTTCATTAAACTTACGGTTTGATACTATTTTAACAGAGTTTCATTATTTTTATAAGTATACCTGTAAAGAATTTTTGTCTTGCTTTTTGAAACACAATTTGGAATTAAATCATTGTAATTCTCATTAATTGGTCTGTACCACTTTTACTTCTGAGAATGTTTCATTTGCTCTAATGCTATTTTTCTTTTCAGAAAGTGAGCCGTCACTTTTAGAATTCAAGCCGTTCAGTAACGGTCCTTTGGTGGGCGGATTCATCTACAGGGGCTGCCAGTCTGAAAGACTGTTCGGAAGCTACGTGTTTGGAGATCGCAATGGGTACGTTTCCCAATGCCACAGTTTCTTGTATTGCTTGGCACACTACCAAAATATTTTCAAGCGGCTGTGGCCCGCAAGTCAGACCTTGGACACACGCAAATGTTATGGCTTCCTGTGTTCCGTCGCATCTGGAAGCTGAATTGAGGAGATGCTTCTAAAAACATTCTTCAGTAGGCTCCATCGGTTCGATGGGATAACGTTAGAAGGCAAAGCGGTCTTGTGAGGGACTTCCCCCTTATTCTGACTGTTCCCTTTATCCTCAACCTAATTCTAAAACGTGTTTTACGGGATTCGTGAAAGCTGTTTGAAAAGTTACCCCGGAAGACTGAGAATTTTGGTAGTGCCAAGCTCTCAGGACCTTGCGCGTGTAATTCACCTACAGAAGTAGCTACTACAAAATAAAAATGTAGCCTAAATTTTCAAGGTCTCCTGGTGGGTAATTATAAGGAATTGATGAAACCCTTGCTGTTGTCACTCAGGCTTGGCTGTGTCTCCCCTGTGCTCCACCCACCCTTGTCACGCTGATTTCAGCAGCACAGCCTGAGGATGAAACCTGCCTACCTGGGAAGAGTCCTCTCCAGATGGAGGAAGGGGAGGGACTTTCTCCTACTTGGGTCTCTCTCTCTCTCTCTCTCTCTCTCTCTCTCTCTCTCTCTCTCTCTCTCTCCCTCTCTCCCTCCCTCCCTCCCTTTCTTTCCCCCCAAAATAGGGTTTCTCTGTGAAACAGCTGTGGCTGTCCTGAAACCCACTTTGTAGACCAGGCTGGCCTTGAACTCACAGAGATCTGCCTGCCTCTGCCCCACAAGCAATGAGACTAAAGGTGTGCGCCACCACTGCCCAGCTTCCTACTTGGATTTTTCATTGCCCTTTTCAAACCCCATCTTGTCTTGAAGTCCTGTATCCTCATCTGGTTTTCTTTTCACAGTGTTCCCATATAGGACAGAGTATATTTTTCCCTTGAGAAGTGATGGACAGTCTGGTTTGACAATTTCTCATTGCATTTCACTGTAGGTTTGTGGTGTGTTTTGTTCCAGGAATTTCTTAACTCTCCAGCAAAGTCCCGTGACCAAGCAATGGACAGAAAAGCCACTCTGTCTGGGTACCAGCGGGTCCTGTCGAGGCTACTTTTCAGGTCACGTCTTGGGATTTGGAGAAGATGAATTAGGTACTATATCTATTACACCATGAAGTTCTAGTTTCACTCCTTGCTTGGAAAACTTTGTTCTGCCTTCTAGAATACCGGTGTCTTCCTTCATTTGTTGGAAATGTGCCCACAGTAAAGGCGATCTCCACAGAATCCCAGGATGGTACAGTCAGACCTTCCTTCCCATCATCCTTCCCCAAGGATCTCTATAGCTGGTTTATAGTTTGGAAATATTAAAGTAATAAAGAAGAAAAAACCCTAAGTTCCAAAGGGAGGATGTCTCCATACCTACCGACACTTTTCACTGCGCACTATGACGGTCCTTTTATTTCCGACAGAAAAACCGTCTCACTTGTCATGTCTCTTTAATATATTTTAGAAGGGTAGATTCTGAAGCTAATTTGCCCTCTGTATTGTTAACTTATTTATTTTGCCCATCTGAGAATAAAATTTGTGCAAGATAATCTGAGGGCTGGAGAGCCTTGCCCATAGAATGGAAATTATCTTACTGACCATTTATACAACAGTATTTTTAGCATGCTTATCAATATATGGAGCTTATGTGTATGTTGAAGACCTCATCACATGTCCTGGTACCACTGGGAGGTGGTGGCACCTTTATCAGGTGAGCCTCAATGCCAAGAAATTGATGCTCTTAAAAAATGTTTTTAGACTTATTTTATTATTTTATATTTATGCTATTTTGCCTGCATGTATATATGCATATAATATACATGCTTGATGACTGAGGAGGTCAGAAGACGGTGTCAGATCCCTGCACTAGAGTTTATACATGGTCATGAGCTGCCATGTGGCTGCTGGAATTTGAACCTAGGTCCTCTGCAAGAGCAACACAGCTGCCTTAACCTCAGAGCCACCTCTCCAACCCCCAAATTGGTGCTCAAGGCAGAACCTTGTTTCTCTGTATCCTTGCTCCCTGGCTGCTGTGAGGGCAAGGGGTATCCCTTGTCATGCACTCCTGCAGTGGTAGCTCCCAAGTCACAGAGTCAGGCTAACACATACTGCAGTCCCTAAAACCAGGAGCTAAACTCAAACTTCCCTCCACCAAAAACAAAAAGAAAGAGAGAAACACGGAGCCTGATGAGCCTAAGGGAGTTGTAATTGGGGTATGATTAATGGGAAAGTGACATTGCCCGCTCTCCACTGCTTTAAATTACAGAGTTCAGTGTAGCTTGTGTGGGGTTTTACTTAACTACACCCTAAAAATCCATGAGGACTATGCTCCTTCAGCTCAGAAATGAGTTTGAAGGCGTAGAAAGAAAGAATGTTTCTTTCCTGAGTCGGAATATTCTCTCTATAATGAAAAGTCCGGGTTGATTTCATTTGTACTTTAAATGGGGGAATCAGAAGAAACAGTGGAAATGCTGGAGAAGCATGGGGCATTTGTCTAGTTTTGCTCCAAAGTGAAAGCATTTTTTCCCTAGACAGGGTTCCTCTGTATAGTCTTGGCTGTCCTAGAACTCGCTCTGTAGACCAGAGTGGCCTCAAACTCACAGAGCTCCGCCTGCCTCTGCCTCCAGAATGCAGGGATCAAAACTGCATTCCACCATCGTCCAACATTCAAAGGAAAGGCATTTTATGTCTGAGTTTTTCTTTAATGTGCTTCCACCCCACTCAAGGGAGTCAGAGAGATACCTCTTGTTTATAAGCTCTGTAGAATAATTTAGATGTTGTTGGCAGACATTATTAATTTTGAGACTGCCTAGGGCTGTGGGTGGGCATCGGGGGTAGAGTGTTTGACTAGAACACACTCAAGGCTCTGAGTTTGCCCCTAGACTTGACAAGAAAGAGGTGGAAGGAGAGAAAGAAGATAGAGAAGGAAAAGAAAGGAAAGATGGGACGAACAGGAAGGGAGTGGGGGTGGAAATGAGGAAGGAACAAAGGGAGGGACTTATCCAAGCAACCTCAAGAGAAGGCAAGAAAATTCGGCTTGACCTAACTTAAGCCATTTCATTCTTGAAAAAGAATCACTGGGTAAGAATAAACCTTCAGAACCAAGGGAGAGACAAGGATCCCAGGGAGGAGGTTGTTGGCTGTGGTTCAGGTGAGAAACAATGTCCTCCTGAACAAGAGTCGTTTGGGAATGGGGAAGAGGTGACTGGACTCAGGGTACAGTGCAGAGGAGGATGTGTGAGGTGCTGTCACACCTGGAGGCAGAGCATCTTCCTGGGGATGAGGGGAGACCCATGACATCTGCGTGGCTCTGATGTCGTGCTATGAATTCACTGTACTGTTTCTCTTTTCATCAGGAGAAGTATACATTCTATCAAGCAGTAAGAGTATGACCCAGACTCACAACGGAAAACTCTACAAGATCATAGACCCGAAAAGGTAATTTCTTTTTCCTTTTGAGTCCACTCAATATCCATTCTCCAGTTAGTTTAGTTCACTCAGCAGTGTTATAGAAGAGACAGCGTTTGTGATAGGCTGGAGCGAACGTTCTACCCTTCCCACAACAGAGGACTGCACTGACCTTGACGGACTTGAAAAGCTCATGCATATCATTCTTATCCATAGAGAGCTGGTCTAGACTTGTGGAATCAACATTCCGGTTAAAAGTCAGGGAGGACAGTGGCTTCAGCTCTCATGTTAGAAAAGCAACAAAACCTTTCATTTTGAGAAAACGAGACATGTTCTAGCAGACATCGTCTTTCTTAGCACGATTCCTGTTAGATAAACAAGATAGTCTATTTTAACAGCTCAACAAATGAGCCTTGTTTCAAAACTCACAGTTCCTAGCATTCAGGAAGAGTGTTTGACGGGGCAAAGGAAAACTAAAGGAATATTTTGTTACTCACTTCAGCAAAAGGAAGGTTGGACATTTTCATATTTTAAAGAGTATATTTTGATGGCTTAGTAGATAAAATGTTGCCCTGAAAGCACAAGGACAAGAGTTCAGATCCCCAGAACCCACGTCAGTGTGGAGTGGGCGAGGTGGCTACACACTATCCAACATTGAGGAGGAAGACCCAAGGCAGCCCCAGGGCAGATTGTCTGGCTAGCTCAGCCAGATGAGTTCCTGGTTCAGAGACCCAGTTCCGGTAAATGAAGCTGAAAATGATCAAGGAAGATACTCAGTGTTAGCATCTGGCCTCCTCACACACATACACACATGTGTGCATACACACATATACCCACATACATGTGAACAAGCATACACAGATATATGCTTAAAATACGTGTGTGTGTGTCCTGCTGCTGTTCCCTCCCTAGCTACCCCTCTCAGTGTTGGCGCCCACAGTTCTCCCGATGTTACAATCATCGTGTATCAGTCATATCTTTCAAATATGAGAGTTGAACTTCCAGAAACTGTTAAAATTACACGCAGCCACGCGGATGTTGTCCATACAGACCCTAATCATTCTCATAGATACAATTAGTGACCAACTAACTAATACTCTTTACTCATCAACACCGTGCTGCAAACTTCAAACTCCTTCGAAGTCTTTTTCAAGGGAATCAATTTTAAGGATCAGAAAAGTTAGCCCACGGCATTCAGCTCTTACAATCATTTGTAAATTGTCGATTTGTGTTTTCCTGGGAAAGTCGTGGACTAGTGACTGGTCGGACTACCTTTTCTAAAACCATAAAACATTCCCTTTCCTGAGAAAACTACAGGTTAGCACTGGCCACTGCACAGCAAGGAGAGCCATGAGAAACGGGGCGCAGTCTCTGTCCCCCGCTCACCGCTGAGAGCGTGACCTCACTCCTTCACAGTCAAAGGCATGATTCCGTCAGTAGTGGCAGCGGCTACTCCTCTTTATGTGTGAAATCGGTGTCTTCTTTGAGAAAAGAAATGAAAAGCTATCAGACACCCGGGAGAGTGCTGAAACTGGCAACATTGCGAAAACAAAGCAAGCCAGTGTGAACCAGTAACACAGAGCGCTCGAGTGACCTGCAGCGCAGGCGTGGGATTTCACCCAGACCTATGGCAATTAGTTTCCCAATGGTCACTGTTGCTCCATTATGCTGTCAGGATTGATCAGCTTCTGAAGCTTCCCCTAGTAGGGTAATGAATTCCCCCTACCTTGCCCGCAACCCCCTCCACACTCAAATCTCTCTTGAGCTGGATTGTTTAGTCTGTTGGTGAGTAGAGGTGAATTTTACACCTTTTATCTATTATTAGGATCTAATTATCAGGGTTGCCATGAGTGACCTTGGCTTTGTGATCCTAGGGCCCCCTCTAGTAGGGTGGTCTCAGAGTGACATACCCAAAGGCCTGGCTTCTCATTATTGGCCTGTTTCTGGTGATTCATGTCATGTGTGGGGCCAGGGTTAAGATCTGTGTTTGCTTTGCCGAGATGGGGGAAGTAATAGAATCCCGAAGACCCATCCTCCTACACAGGCGGCAGCGTATTCTAACTGAAGCTGAAGCGGGTGGGAGAAGCTAATGTTTTCATCAGTGTTTGTTGGGAGCCTCTTACTGTTTTGATATGAATGCCAGTGATTATTATTACAGTGTTTTCCCAAGAGGGACTGGTATATAAGCAGATACTCTAGACAGACAGGATTATTTGGGGGCAACACAAGTTAATTGTTAGCATAGGCATGCTCAAGAGGTCAGGAAGAGTAGAAGTATTTTTCTAAAAGAAAGTTATTTTTCCAAGGAAGAACATCACCAAATTTAAATATTCGTATATATGCATATATAGTTATTCCTTGTTATTTCAAAAGTCTAATTCAGACTGAACAGTTAAGTTCACTATCTTCCTATAGAGAAACCCTTAGACTTCTTACAATATTTTCAAAATAGCTTTCATATGCCAACTGATTTATGACCCTGGAAGAGAAAAATACTAAATTGCAATTTGTTATATTTTTATATAAGGTATCATGGAAGTTACATACTTATCATAGTATTTATACTATATTTTCTTACACACACACACACGAACTTAGAAATAAAATGTAATAACTCTTAACCAAATTTGGCAAAACCTATGAGGTCCCAAGATTGTCACTCCAGTTGGTAAGAACAGTTTGGTCTAGGCTGTAAACTGAAGAATCATTTTGTAAGTTTTAATTTATTTTCAGTGTAACAGCTCCTTAAAAGAAGGTGTTTCAGAAAAAGTAAAGGCCATTAAATTTTAATTAATTAACTTATAAGTTAGTGTATAAAATAATGGGATTTCTTGTACATTTTATACTCATATATGTATTTGTATGTTGCTTCTCTCATTGCCTTTCTTCCGTCCCCTCTCCCCTCCAAGTGGTCATCATTTATAATGAAAATTTGGAAATAAAAAACATCCAGTTTCCCTAAGTTATCTAGGGAAGAGATTTCCCTGGGTAGACAGGACAAGAATTGATTTGTCAGGACTAGAAAGGTGGTTCTGAGGTTAAGAGTGCTTACTAGCTGCTCCTCCCAAGGTCATGGTTCAGTTCCCAGCACCCAGTTGGCGTCTCACAACTGTCTGTAACTCCAGTCCCAGGGGATTCAATACCTTCCTTTTAGCTTCTGTATGTACCAATCATAATGAAGTGCATAGATATACATACAGACAAAATATCCATACACATAAAAATGCTATTTTTACAAAAAGTCAGGCAGTGATGGTGCATGCCTTTAATTCCAGCATTCAGGAGGAAGAGGCAGGTGGATCTCTGGGAGTTTGAAGCCAGCCTGGCCTACAGAGCTACTTCAAGGACAGCTAGGGTTAGACACAGAAACCCAGTTTCGAGAAACCAAAAAAAAAAAAAAAAAAAAAAAAAAAAAAAAAAAAAAAAAAAAAAAAAAAAAAAAAAAAAAAAAAAAAAAAAAAAAAGATTTGTCTTTTGCCAAAACACTAACCACTTCAAGGATATCTTCAAAGTTGGGAAGTTGCCTCCTATGTCAGAATGGAGTTTGGATCAAGTCAACAGCTCAGTCAATTTTGGGTCCCCAAACTCTCTTGTACTCAGTTCAGTGTGCCCCATGATCTGCCCTTGGAGGCTTCATCAGCTGACATACCAGGGGGCAGGTTAGACTCATTGAGCATACAGTTTGGGCAGTGGATCTCCTTGAAGCTGAACAGCACATGGATTGCTGTTGTGCTGTGTCCTGGGCCCATCAGAGACTTGCCCATGACCATTGCCTCTTGCCTCTCACCTCCATGGCTTCTGACGTGAGATGGATAGTGTATTTAAAGTGTATTCTAATCTCTAGTCTTGTCAGGCCTCATTCTTGGCATTCCATAATCATTTTCAGGTGATTTCTCAACCTTTAAGTTTCTCTCACTTCTAAAATTAGGATGCAGGTGTCCACAGAGCTTACCGAAGCTCTGAACAAATGCTCTCGGGGCGTCATTCCTTACGTGCTTGCTCTTTATGAACTCTTCTCAAACCTAACCAAATGTTGGGGTGGGGGGGCAGTGAGGTGGCCCAGCAGGCAAAGATACTTGCAGCACAAGCCTGATACCTGAGTTCGAGTCCCATAATCTAAAGACAGAAGGAGAGAAGGCAGTCTACAAAACGGTTCTCGGAACTCCAAATAGGAACTGTGACATGCAACCCCGCACACTCAAATAAACGACTGCATGAATAAATAAATAAAATGGAAAGGAACCAGGGTCAAACACTCTTTGGCAATAGGGGAAACTCAAAAGTCTGACACAGGTGACTTCGAAGTTTTACCACTGTAGAACACAGGACTCCAATTTTGTTTCAAATGAACTTAAACCAAAATGCCTTTGTTTTGACTTTGAGATGTTCCCAGGGCTAACTGTCCAGGAAGGTGGAAGGCCATGCTGTTCCTGTTGCTCCCTTTCTCTGAGTCCACTCTTCCTGTATTTCAACACCTTGCTTAGCTCTTCTCCAACCAAGACACGGGGACTTTCCCTTTAAGAGATCTATAAATCAACAACACAAATCCCAAGCTTGAGAGGTCACCCTTCGGAAGGCTGTGTCCCCAAACTCCTCTAGGACTATTATCAAAACCTATTTCTCTGCTGCCTCTCCACGCCCATGAAGTGCCACTTACTAACCCTGTTTTGATATTTTTTTTTTCTTAATCACTTCATCCTACCTAATTATGCAGGATGCTAAAGTCTTGCTTAAAAAATCACAAGGGTAAGCCAGTCCTATTTGCCCTTTGCGCATGTCTGGGAGTCCACTGGCAGCTCTGTCATCCTAAAGAAACTTCTGCATCATAGAGCAGCTTTCGTCCAATAAGCCAGTGGAGTCCCAATTCATCAGCCAGTTTTATGCAAGTGGCCCCTTAAGCTGATAAATTCCCACAGTGCCTGTTGACCCAGCTGCCAAGTCCTCTTGCGGCAGGTGGTGTTTTCGTGGCCACCCTGACAGTAATACAAACTGTTTAGTGGCTCCATTGACCTTGTAGCTATTAACTGGGA